CTATTTATATTATACCTTAAAAAAATATTAGTTTATATTTTATTACATTCTAAAAAGAATTAAAATAAAAACCATTAAATATTAATATTTACGCACTTAAAATTAAATAAAATAAATTTAAATTAAAAAATAAATATATGATTACAATCTAATTTATTTATAAAATTAAAAATTATATTTTATTTAGTATTACAATCTATTTTTTATAAATTTAATTTAAAAATCTATTTTTATTTTAATAAAAATTACTCCCTATTTTAATTAAAGATTGATAATTAATATCTGAAAATACTATATATTATTTAGTATTACTAACTATTTTCAATAAAAAATTATATATTTAACTAAAAATACTTATTTTTTTTTGATATTACTGGCTATTTTTAATAAAAATTTAAATAACTTTAAAAAATATATTTTAAATTGTACAGTCTATTTTAAATTATTAAATAATAAATTATTGGCGCAATTAAGATTAATTTGAAATTACTTTCTATTTAAAATAAATTTTATATAAATTTGAAATAATTTTTTTTATTTAGATTACAAACTATTTTTAAAATAAATTAATATATTTTTAAAAAATTATATTATATAATATTACTCCCTATTTTAAATAAAAAAAATTATGCCTAAAAATATTATTTAATTAATTACTACAGACTTTTTTAAATAAATTATAAATAAAAGTTCATTTTATTTAATATTACACTCTATTTAAATAAAAAATAATATAAAAAATATATTATATTTTATAATATAATACATCCTATTTTTAATAAAAATATAACTCAAAATATATTTTATTATTACAAACTATTTTTAATAAAAATTTAATAATTTAACCTAAAATTATATTATTTTTAATATTACAGACTATTTTAAAAAATAAATATTATAATGTATTTTATTTCATATTACATACTATTTTTAATAAAAAACTTATAAATATAAAATATAAATATATTTAATTTAATATTACATCCTATTTTAATTAAAAGATAAATACTTTATTTATTATTACTCCCTATTTTTTAAAAAAAAATATTAATTAAATCCGAAAATGTTATTTATTTAATTTTACAATCTTTTTTCAATATAAAATTGATAAGTTTTAATTAAAATGAATTTTATTTTACAAACTATTTTTAAAAAAAAATCCATCAATTTAATATAAAAATACTATTATATTTAATATTACAAACTAATTTTTTTTTTTTAAACCATTAATTTATTTTTTAATTACTTGCTATTTTTTTTAAAAAAATAAAAATTTAACTAAAAATTAATTTTATAATATTATTACTTTCTATTTTAAATAAAATTTATAAAATAATTTATAACTTTTATTTTTTTAGTATTACTCCCTATATTTAATAAATAATCGATAATTTAAAAATAAAAATATATTTTTTTAAATATTACTCCCTATTATAAATAATATAATAATTAATAACTAAAACATATATATAATTAATATTACTAATATTTTAGCCTATATTTATTAAAAAATTGATAAATTTAAATAAAAATGCTATTTTTTTTATTTTACATTCTATTTTATATAATAAATGTATATTTGTTTTTCTTAAATATAAGTATCTTATTACTTGCTTATTTTTTGATTTTTAAAAAATATTTATTATTAAAATATATAATTATTATTATACAAACTATTTTTTGTATATATATTTGGCTTTCTTTATATTTTTACACACTTTTTTTTTATTTTTATTATTTATTTTAAATTAAAGCTATTTTTACATTGTGAACCTTTATAATTTTTTTAAATAATTTTCTTTTTATTATTTAATTTTAAATACTCTCTATTAATTTTTTTTTTAATTTTTAATAATTATATATTATGTTTACCTAATTATAAATAAAAATGTTAAATTATTTTAATTTTATAAAATTTTCAAATTAATTTTACACACTAATTTTTTTATTTTTCATATGAATATTTAATAATGATTTTTATTATACAAGCTTTTTTTAAATTAATTTTTTTTTTATTATTTTTTATACTAACTATAAAAGATTTATTTGTTTGTATTTTAACTATTTATTTACACACTAATTTTATAAATATATTTTTATAGTTTTTTTTATATTTACTATCTATTTATTTTATAAATTCCTATTTTTAATAATTTTTACATCCTTTTGTTTAAAAATAATATTAAATTTTTAAAATATATAATTTACTCCCTTTATATTTTTCAATAGAATTCTGATTTTTATATTTACATACTATTGTATTAATTTTGCTTAGTTTTTATACGTATAAATTATTACTTGCTATATTTTATATATATATTTATATTTTTCAAAAATTTAAAATATATATTTTTATTACACACTGCAATTTAAAATATAAGTGTATATCATGGAAAATATTTTACATCCTTTTTAAATAATATAATTATATATATATGATTTTAAAATAATAGTATTTTTTTACCTAAAATAATATTTGTAAATTGTAAAAATAAAATAAATATGATTTTACACACTTTTTTTTTTTTTAAAAAAAAATAATTCATTAAAATAATTTTTTTTTGTTTAATTTTTAAAAAAGCCATTTAAATATTATATAAATTTTCACTTATTTATTTTATATAAAAAATACTTGGCCTTAAACCTAACATAACATTAAAAAAGTTATAAGAAATATCAACTAAATGTAAATCTAATAAAATATTAAATAATAAGGACAAATAATATTTTTTTCTACCTTTGACATATTGTTAATTTATATTTTATTTTTTTATTAAAAATATTAATAAAATATTATTTAAAATGATTTTAAAAACAAAATCTACTTTAAAAAATTAAAATTACATATTTTATTATATAAATTATTATAGTATATTAATTAAATTTAAAATAATTATTTATTTATAGAAAAAAATTATATATAATATAATAGAATACACTGATTAAAATATTTTTATTAAAAAGTATGCAATATATATTATTTATCTAATTTAAATAACAAAATTTTTATAATTAGAAATTATTATTATTATAAATTTTTTTATAAATAATTATTATTTTATATCAAAAAGAGAAAAAAAAAAGAAAAAAAAAAAGAAAAGAAAAGAAAAATTGAATTTTAGAAATGTAAATAATATAATTTAAATATTATACTAATTATCATATTTATATTAAATAATAAACAATAAATTCAATTTTAAATAATATAACTAAAAAAAAGACTATATAAACTTCAAAGTAATAGTATAGCATATAGCATAAATATATTTTTTAAAATATAATTTTTAGTTTTGTATTAATATTTTTAAATATAATTTAATTTTGAATAATAAAACTTAAATTTTTAAATATATCTTAATTTTTTTTAAATAATAATTTTAATTTATTAAAATATATAAACAGATATAAGTTTTTTTGTTAAATAATGAAAATGATAAATTTTATTTTTATTTATAATTATTTTAAATTTTATAAAATGTGTTATTTTAAAATTATTATTAAAATTTTATGTTTTTAAAAAGCATGCCATTCTTTAAAATCATATAAAATAAAATTAATTCAATCAATTTTGATTTTCAAAATCTAAAAATAATAACAACTACTGAATAACACTAAAAGAAATATTATTATTCTTAAATTTCTCTTATATATTAAAGCAGACCATAATATATAAATCTTTATTATGTATTATGTATTATCAAAAATAGGCATTAATTAATATTATTATTTATATAATTATGACTACCTGATAGATTAACATAATTTGTTTATATTTACTAGTTCCTATATATTAAAATCAATAATAACTTAAAAAGGAAGTGAATACATTATAATTATGTTTATTTTTATATTAGTATTATTAAATAAGTGGTTAATTCGCAGCTGATATATTAGGTAAAATTATTCAAAAAATAATAATAATTAATTTTCATTTTTGGACATGAAATTATATCTTACATTTATATGCAAATGAAACAAAAAAATCTTTTTTTATTTTTTTTTAATTTAAATATATATTTTATTTTATTATTATTTATGCTATTTTAGTGGGGGAAGAGGGAATAAGCACTTTATCCGATTGAATGCGAAAATTTTGTTTTTCAGAAATCACATTTTAGATTAAAGGAGAAAAAGGTTTAATTTAAAAATATATAAGAAAATTAAAAATAATTTTGCTAAGTTATTTTTTTTTGACTAATTTTGACAAAAAACTGAGGTGAAAATTTTATTTAATTTTTTTTAAAAAAAAATTCTACAATTCTAAAAATAAATAAATTAATTTTTTATTATTTAAATATTTCTTTTGCAAAATACCAAAATTCGAAACTCTTTCTAACGGAAGAAACAGTAATTTTCACCTCAGAAAATGATTATTATCAAAAATAAGCATGAATTATTATAAGAGAAGGGAATTTTTTTTATAATAAGTATGAAAAAAATGATTGATTTCTAAGAATAATGGATATAATATGTATTTTAGTGTGATTTTTCTTTGTATTTTAACATATTTTCAGGTAATATTTCATTAAAATCTAAAATACACAAGAATAATAGCAAGAAAGACTTTGGGGGCGTTTTTGACATAAAAAAAGTTTAAAAAAGACTTTTATGAATTTATAATTGGTTAATTATGTGAATTTTAGAAAGAATATATATTAAAAAAAATGTTATAATTAAATAAATATAAAAATTTGTTTTTATTAAAAAAAAAAATGAATTATTAATATGAAAAAAAAATGAATAATTAATATGCAAAAAAAATCAATTTCGTATTCTTTATTAATAAAATATAAATTATAAAGACTTGGGAATTACGATATATTACTATTTAATTATATTATATGAGATTAACTTTTAAAGTATAAATGTGATTAAATAGATATAAAGAAATTCATAAAATTATATTAAAAATATTTTTAAGTTGCTAATCTTAAGAAGATTAGAAATAAAAAATATTACATGATAGGGGGTTCTTCGGGAAATTACAATATAGAATAAGTAGAAAAAGAGTAAATTTTGGTATATTTTTTAAGAAAATAAAGATTAAATTAAATTTTATTATTAAAATAAATGATCTCATCAAAAATGAGGAAAAAAATAAGAAAATAATTAAAAAATTTCTGTGGAGTATTATAAAATATAGTGAATAAAAAATAATAAAATATTATTAAATTATTTAAAAAATATAATAAAAATTATTTAAACAATATTTTTAATTTATTTATTAAATTACACATATTTTAAATTTGAATAAAAAAAAATTTAATATATTTTAAATATACTAATCTAATAATTTTTTAATTTATTTTTATCTATTTGTGTGCCATAAAAAATTACATAAACACTATCATATATTCACCTGTTAATCAAGATTACAATTCTTAAATTAAAAATGTTGTCAGTTATCAACGTTATTTAAATTTTTATCATTATAAACCTTTCATTCCGTTTCTTCTGAGTTTTATTATAAAAAATATAGCAAATTAAAGTTTTTTATATAGTGATTATTCATTATAAAATGTAAAAAAAAAAATTATAAAAAGAATATTTAATTATTTTTAATTTTAATAATAAAATTAGAAATTAATTATTCGTAATTATTTTATAGAAAATTTTTAAATTACTAAAATTTGATTTAATATATATTTCTTATTTCTTAATAAATAAAATATTTTTTAAATAAAAGATCATTAAAAAAGATTAAAAAAATTTCGATTATAAATAAATAATTTTCTAAACAAAAATTAAATATATTTTATTTATATATTATTAAATTAATTTTTTTTTAAATTTAAATAAAAAAAGATATTTTTTATATTTTAAGACATAAAAAAAAAATATATATATATATATATATATATAGATAAATTTTGTGAAAAAATTATTAAGGATATTTAATTATATTAGATATTTCTTAAAAATTCTCATGTATTAAAATAATATTATAAAAAAAATATAGTAAAAAAATAAAATTTAATAATTTAAAAATAAATTATTTAAAATATAAAAGTTTTATAAAATTAATTATATTAAATATATATATTTTATTTTAATAGTATTATATCATAATACTATATATAAAAAAAAAAATATATAAAGGTTAAAAAAAAATATAACATTAAATATATATTATTTAGAAAATAAAATAAAAAAAAAAAATATAATATAAATTTATTTAATTCGAATTGTAAAATATATAATATATATTTATTAAATATATTCTTATATATATATTATAAAAAAAATTATTTGATTATAAAAATTAAATAATTAAATTAAAAATTAAAATTTAAATATATTTAAATATGTATTTTAAATATATTTATATATTTATATATGTATATATTATATATAATTTAAATATTTTATATAATTTATATTTTAAATAAATATATGTATATATTTATTAATAATTATATTATTTTTAATAAATTAAATAAACATTATTATTTATAAATATATATTATTAATTTTTTATTTTAATTTTTATATAAATATTTTAATATTTTTTTTTAAAAAAAAATATATTTTTTTATATATCTATATTATATAATTTTTTTGTTTTATATATAAATAATATATTATTAATTTTATAAATTATATTATAAAATATTCATATTAATTTAAATATTTATTCAATATAATTATTATATTAAATATATTATTATTAAATTTTTATACATTATTTTATAAAAATATATTTATTTTATTATATTAAATTTAATTCACAAATATAAATTTATTTAATATATA